TTTTAAAAAATGGAGTTCTTGGTGCAATATGGTTTTGCATTTTTTAAAAATTTAATCAAAAAGTTGTGGGATTAAAAAGTTTCCCTCATTAGTGGTAATATATATTTCCACCTCTGTTTCTGTGTCTGTCTCTATCTGTATTTCTACCTCTATTTGCATCTTTTAAAAAATTTAATAATTAATAAAATTACGGGATAGAAGTTTCCCATGCTAGTGGTAATATATATTTCTATAGATCTATCTATCTATCTATCTATCTATCTATCTATCTATCTATCTATCTAGAATAATGTAATCAGTAGAACCATCTGAACAGGGAAGTTACTGGGTCACTTAAATACAAGTGATAACATGATCCAGAATGAGGATTTCACCTTGGGTCAAAGCCATCAAGAACTGCAGACAGAAAAGCTAGCGAGAAGAGCCTGCAGAGATCACATGCATATTTTCTGTCCGTAGCTCCTCTGGGCACTTCAGTGAACCATCTGATCTGTTTCATTTTCCAAAGAACTGCTCTGAGGCTCACATGCCTGGGTGCCAAAGAAAGGTCATTCAGGCATCAGAGAACCCATTTCCAGAAGCGGCTCTGTTTACAAACTGGGAAGGCATCCACTGAAACAGGGGGAACAAAAGAGTTTTTCTTTACAAACCAGTCCCTGACCCTTGCCTTTAGCCAGGGCTTCCACTTTCTTTGGCAGGTTTTTCTGACTCCGTAGCCAAGTACAACTGCGCTGGCAGAGAGCATGTCCTCACTGCATGTGTAAAGCAGACGGCTGAGGTCAAACTTGCCATTACAGAGAAGTTTGGACACACAAAAAAAGTAGCACTCTCCTCTCAGAGTTTAACAATTTTTACACTGTTACACGTGAGAAAGCGGAAGGTGGATTAACATTTGACAGTATGGTACCGCCAGCTGCTTGTGAGCTCCTAACAATGGAAAAATCACCTCCAGTAAATAGAAACTTGTTTTCAGGTGAAGTCAGGGAAGAAGCAAGATTATTTGTGAATCTTATCTTTCTGTTGCACATTATTCATGTTTTTCTTTCTCAGGCATTTGGACTCTGTATTGTGTTCTATCTCTCTTGATGTTTTGAGCATCCTGTCGGGGTGTAGTTCCTTATGGAGCTGTGCCCTGTAAACCTGATGCTATCTCATTCATACTCCGAGGGTTCAAGGCTCTACCAAGGACATTCTTTGCTTCAAAGATCCAAAATCTATGCAAAATTAAAGCGCTAAACATTTAGTGCAATTCCTAACAGTTATCTTGTCCAGTGTATGCATTTTAATATGGCAAACAACTCTATACAGATCATAAATATAATCTAATCTGCATTAATTTTGTTTTGTCTCATCATCAGCATTTTTTATAACTTTTATAATCTTCTACCAGACGATATTCCTCTTGTTAACTTCCTAAAAGTAACTGGCCAACTGTTACTGTCAATGTAAAGATTTTCTACTTACTTTTTGCCCTGATTTTTAACTAGCTGAATTTTTTTCGTGTTTGCTTTTTTATTGTAGAGTTAATTCATCTGCAACTGTGATTAATTTGTGTGGTAATTAACAAATGCAGTACTGAGTGTTTTTCTTAACCTGAATGATAGAACTTGAATATATAAAGCATATTACTTCCAAAACATCTAAAATGCTCACTTGTACTTGAAAGAGAATACACTGTATTCCAAGGTTTAAAATAAATCTGAATGGCTGGCTTTTTTAAACACTGATGAGAAATTATGGCTTGTGGGTCACGTGAGCAGTGATGACGCACAACTGCCAGCTTGTTAGAAATGCTGAAGTGGGTCTTTGGCTCTTTGGCCATCTAAAGTTGAACAAACTAATGCTAATTCAAATGTCCGCCGTGGAAACAATTGAACCAGAAAGTATGACACTAGTTTTGCTATCCTAGTGTTGTACACGTTAATGTAACACCTGGTATGTACAAAAAGTCAACCAAGTATGAGAGACATGTAAATGAGTGAGAGGACAGCCCTTGTCCAGAAGGTACTGATAGTCTAGCGAGAGAGAACAATTTACACAGCTGGTTTCAATTCCTGTCTCCTGATCTCTCACTATGCAGCTTGGACTCGTAATGACCCTCCTGTTTTCAGCCTCCCCGGCTCTGGGATTACAGGCATGTGCCACCACTCCAGGACACAGTGCAGGCTCAGCTCACCCGGGAGTCAGCACAGCATGTGCCACTGAAATTTTCATAAGGAGGTTAATAAAGGTTGAGTCAGTTAATGTGGACAGTAGCACTACTTGCTCCTCATGTATGATATATTTATTAATATTCTAATGATCCTAACCACCTTCCTGAGTAAATGACAACATTCTTGGAGTCCCATGCCTGTATTTGAATACCAGCTGGCTGCATGACTTGGGCATACAACCTAGCTTAACATTTCAACTTACCACAAATTCTGACAATTGTTTTTACTTCTGTCATGGAAAATTAAATTATGTAATAATTACACAGACACTAGTATACAAGGTACCTCTTTTACCTCTGCTATATGATGCCTTTAATTCTCTGGAAAAATACTTAGAAAGGGAATAGTTGGGTCAAATTCAATTTCTATTCTTAGATTTTGAGGAATCACCTTACTGATTTCCATAGTGGCTGTACTAGTTTGCATTCAAACCAATGTGTATAAGGGTTCCTTTCTTTCTGTAGCCTTACTACGGTTTGTTATTTGATTTATTGATGGTAGCCATATTACAGCGACACATACATAGGCATGTATAGCACTGCAACTCATAACAGCTAAACTTTGGAAGCAGCCCATGTATTCATCAGCAGATGAGTGGATAAAGGAAATATGGCATTTATGTACAGTGAATTTCTATTGTACCATAAAGAAGGATAAATTTGTGTTGCTGGTAGGAAAATATGTGCATAATATTATGTGAAATAAATCAGCACACATATTTAATTTCACCTGATGTTAAACCCAAAGCATAAATAATTACAGAACAAAATAAAAGATAGATAATAGGTGACAGGGGCATGGATATCTTCCAAAAGGGAAGGGAACCAAGATATAGTTGGAAAACTAAAGGGCGAATAAATGTACATGTACCAGCTCCCCATAAGAATGTGATCATTATGGACTGAAGCATGCACAAATTAAAATTAATGAAAGAATGTACTATGTAATGAATACTGCAGGCAAAGGATATTGCCTTGTAGTATAATTTGCTCTCAACTTAAAGCCAAGAGGTTACACAGAAGTTGTACAATTTGTTCAAGATCATATAAGAAGTTACAGAGATGAAACCCTGCCAAGTCTATGTTTCACCCTCTTCTTATATAAAAATATTTTTAGAGATGTAACTGTTGGATAACTTTGAGGGGTAATTGCTGGGTGTGTCCTTGAGTCCAGTGTCTTTGTTTGCTGTTCCAGGTGAGCCAGGGTCACAGAAGACCTTGAAGCTGGCATCACTCACTGCACCCTGAGCATTCCGGTCTCCCCTTCCTGAGCCAACCCTGAGAGCTGAACTTCTAGTGTCCGGCTTGCTTGTGTCTGTGATGTGAACTGCTTTGCAGAATTATCCACCAGTGATGGCAGAGAAGTTTCAAGGATCTGAGCACCCTCAAGAAGGCCAGGAGAAGACCAGGAGGGATGTCCTGAGGTTCACCAAGCAGGCATGGGCTCCTCTGGATGAGCAGCTGTCCCTGGACCCCAAGGAGGAAAGCCGGATTGCTTCCACTGCCCTGCTGGGTGAGGAAGGCCCTCAGGAGCATTTGCAAAAAACAAAAATCTGTGCGTGATGAGGAATGTGGGGCTTGCAGCTAGGGGGCAGATGAATTTGGAATACAGACTTCACTTTGAAGACTGTTGTATGAAACACACTTCTGACTTTGCAGACCCTCAGAACACAGACTTTGTCAAAATAAATAGATCATCTAAGAAATGAACTCTACTTCCTTTTCATTCCAATTCCCCTTCATCTTAAATTCCCAGGACTTGCAAGATGTATAGACCCATTCCCTGGGGCATAAAGCTTCTTTCGGGACATCATGACCTTGAAGACTCTTGGGATCTTGCATGTTGCATGAATAATAGTGTTAATAATTTAAAAAGTAATAAGTAAGAAAATGTTTCTCCAGCACATTCTTCACAAGATGTAACTTTAGGGTAGTTTTTCTTCTTTGCTCCTCATCAATTTTATTCTATCCTTTTATTTTATCTTAATTGAAAAATAATCTACATCTCTGAGGCCCACTGACTTTCTTGATTCTCCTGATACCTTGTGAGTAAATAGTGCAGGCACCCCATGGCTTGGTAGCATCAAGTCATAGATTATCAGCCAGTGGCAGACAGTAACTAACCTTAACATAAGTAAGTGTTTCACAGGAAATGTTCCCTTTGCATTCTCTCCTTTTGCCTGTCTGCTGAGCCAGTGTCAAGGACCTATTCTTAAAAGACTGGTGCCTTTTCAACACAGGGCGCCCTTGGCAATCCAGGGACTCTAGTGCAATTTGTCCTTGGAATGAATGCAAATTTGGTTTCTAACCTGGCAGAGAATCCTTGCAAATAAACATCACTGGCTGGCTGCCTTAGGTAAATGTCCTGATTCAATAAGGAGAGGCTCCATGGCGATTTACACCCAACAAGAGAAAGACAAATGTCTCAAATGCTTTTCACTCTTGTATACACCAGGTAATATAAAAATTATTCTAATAGCTCTTGTTCTTTACTGATCTATTTTTCTCCTCTTTAGTATTTTCTTTTGTTCTTTCTCTCTTTCGCTTTCTCTTTCTTTCTTCCTTTCTTTTTTGAGTTATAATATTTTGGCAAATTTCTACTGAATTCTCAGGAATGGCTGATTATAAAAAACAGGAGATTGGACCTTTTGAAAAAAGATGAATCAGCTTATAGAAACATGTGACTAAATATGTAGAAATAGAACTATTGAGTGTAGGCTGAATGCTAGTGAAGTTATTTTAAATGGTTGTGCTTTGACTAACTGATCTGTTTCTTTCTTGTCTATAGAAGCCTCCAAGCAGGAAAGTATCCAGCAGTGGTTGGACTCTGGATTTTTGTAAGTGTTTCTCTGTGCTTTATACTTTTCTCTGGTAAAGATCTATGAAAAAATTGTGGATATTCTTCTTTTCAAGGTGAGATATATTGGGGTTGTAATATTATTTGTGTACTTAAAGGATTATTTTATTATTGTAAAAGCTTTAAATTGATTTAAAAGTGCAAAATACATTGTTATTCTAATGCCTTATGATGTGCTGGTTTCCAAAAGTACTCTTTTAATAAACTAATTCTGCACTCACATTCATCAGCTTAATTTGAAAACCAATTCAGGGTAATTTATTTAAAGCCATCATTTGACTCACAATTTTTTTTTTTATACAGTATCTCTGCAAAGGAAAACTTTCAGCAACTTGTCAACCACACCGGTAAGAGGAAAGAACCCAGAAATAGTTCTATTTCCTAAAGCCAAGTAAAGATGCATGTGTGAAAACTGTGTGCATGCACGTCCCCCAGATAAAACCATTAGTGCCCGCTGGAATGGGTCCGACCTCAATGCTTTCATCTGATTGATGAGACCAAAGCTCCCGAAAGGCAGGAGGCTGGGGGCTGAGGCCAAGGCTTCAGGAAGCTGACTGTATTCTGCAGATACACTGGCAAAGATATAATTATGAAATTGAAATTGTTTAATTTTCCCTCAGATTGTATTGTTCTTTTACTTCTAAAGGTACTCTTTCTATTTTTTTATCTCAAAATTCTACTTATATCATCTCTCTCCAATGATGTATTTGTTCTAGAGAAGAACAAATGATTGAATCCTAAAGCAAAGAGTGAAAGTATTTCTGAGAGACAAAATTGCATCACCTTTGTTTCACTGAGTTTTGATAAGAACATTACAAAAGAAAAATGAATTTAATTTCAGGTCTTATGGGTTCCATATCTATTAAATGAGATTCTGTTTTTCTTCGAATCTATGGCTTCTCAATTATAAAATGTCCTTATTTTAAATGAATCACTCAGATAGAGAAAATGAACCCTTGTGATTATAAATAAGATCTAGATTATGGAATACATCTTGATTTCATAGATGTTAAAAATGTGAGAAAAGCATTAGTATTGACTAAGTACTATGAAAATATATATGGAAAAAAGTAAGTAAATTAAGAGTTTAATAATTAGGAGGCAAAACTTACTAAAATAGCAACTTACTTTGCTGGTTTTAATTCTTTTACTTCCTTCACTGTTGTCTTAAGTAAATATCTACTACTGCCTACAACAGTTTATTTAAATTTGGGATTATTTACCCTAAAAAAAGAAAACTGCATGATTTGAATTTCCTTTTCATAGAGCTGCTTTTTTTTAAAACATGAAGTTCCATAATCCCAAAATTTCTAATGATTTTTTTTCCTGATAAATCAAGTTTAATCAGCTCTCTGCTGTAATAGTCGAGACTCACGGAAAAAACAGGAACTTAAGGACTGGCGATATAACTCAGTGAACTAAGTGCTTGCTTAGGCAAGCACAGGGGCCAGGGTTCAATCCCTGGCACCACATGCTGCTGGCCCCATCCCCAGGCATGCTGAGCCGGCAGTGGAGTCTGGGTGTGGTGGCACATACACATCACCCCAACACTAGGGAGGCAGAAATCAGGATTGTTACCAGTGTGAACTGCGTAGTGAGACCCTACATCAAAAAAAAAAAAAAAAAAAAAAAAAAAAAAAAAAGAAAAGAAAAGAAAAAAGAAAGAAAAGAAAAAGGGAAAAAGAAAGAAAGAAAAAGAAAAAGAAACTTAAAAAAATACAGCCAGTATTTCATAGCCACCTGATGCTGACCTTGCCTGGGTCATGGTGAGAGGCCTAACCCTAGCTTTGAGATACTTAGTGATTGTATTAATCTCCTCACATCCCAGACATTACAGACAAATGATGACTTTTCATCTGAACCAAGTCATGAACTGCAAAGCCAGAGACAGGAGATAAAGACCCGGAGACAGCAGTGTCATCCACAAACTCGGCTCTGAGCTTAGAGAGCCACAGCTTCCGTATGGTAGCTCTTTCATCTTCAGTAAGACTTTTAATAATAATGGAAGAGCTTCTCACAAATTTAATTGAGCTTTTACTTTTACAAGGCCCTTGCTCATTGATCAAATTTTAAACTCAGTGACCTGTGTGGGCATGTGCCTCACTCTCATTTCTGGCTCACAGGTAAAGGATCTGAGGCGCAGGGTGACAGAATGTTGTGAACTGAAGTCACAGCTGATTAAAGGCAGATGGAGAAGCTGGAGATCCAGGCTTCCCTGGGCCTCTCTGTGCCCCGGCGTCAGTTGTGATGGTAGGGTTCAACCTGGGCTTAGGGAAGCCCAGAGTCACACTAGGAAGTGAGGGGTGGCTGCCCGAACAGTAACAAAAACTGGTGATCTGAAAGTCTTGGGAGAAAGGTTAAGGAGAAAACTTGGAGAAAAAGAAAAAAAAAATAACTGCAGAAGAGGAATATAAGTTGTCACATCTGAAGAAGCAGTGCTGTGCACACTTGTGAAATCCTTAAGGGTTATAGAGTGCACGAGTGTTCGCCACTTCAGTCAACAACAAATCACTGTATACTTTAAGGATTAAAACCAGGAATTTATTCCCAAAAACCAGGAATTTATTCCCTCGTAGATTATGCAGCCTAGAAGTTCAAACCCAAGGTGTCAGCCATTCATTGGACTTCTGAAGAATCCCTCCCAGCTTGGCTTCCAATGGCTGTACAACATTCTGAGGCTTCTGTCTTATCTTTTATTCTATGACTCCGTCTTCTCAGGGTCTCGTCTTCTTGAATGATGAATCCTCTTCTTGTAGATACATCAAGCACCAGACTTAGAACCTGCTCTACTCTAAACCAAAGCATTGCACCCCTCTGTGCCAAGCCTCAGAAGAGATCAGTAAGGAAGCCAGCTTTGGTGTGAAGTTCAGTTTGAGTAAGAAGGGTACTGTCACCCTCCACCATTTCATTTCCACCCAAAACACGAGAATGATGCCCTACTTAGAAAAAAGGGTTCTGCAAATATAATGAGTTAAGATCTTAACTAGCTCTTCTCATTTGTTTTCCTTCATCTTTCTTCATCCAACTTCTCAAGTCTTAAAGTCTTTCTTATTCTGATAACCTCTTGACCTATTTTTGAGGCCCGATCCTAAGCTCCAGAGTCTGCATACAGGCCTTCCTGACTTCTGCACTGAGATGGAATTTATTTTCTGACCACACACACATCCTTCCTTGGTTCTCTCTACATGGAATTTGGTGTGTATTGCTTCCAGTTCTCAGGCATACAATGCTTCTCATTGACAAAGCTGTGACCCTCACAGGGCAAGAACTATCCTGAAGTCATCCAATTGCACCCAGAGTGGTGAAGCTGATGATTTCAGATTTGAAATCTTTGCAGAAGACATGAGGCTTTAGCTGGTCAATAAAAGAGGAGGCAATTTTAAAAAGCAAAGTGACAAAGCAAGAAAGTAACCTGGTGGAAGGTGTAGGAATTTGAACACAGGCATAGACATGAGAATGAAATTAAATGTGTATGGAAAAGCGCTGGAATGTGATGAGAGTGGAAAGGCAGTTCCATACCAGGGAGCACAGTAAGAAACTCTTTTGGTGGAGTGTGCCCAGATAACAAATGTCTGGAGGTCCAGAAAGAGGGACTCACACTTGATGTGTAGAACTGGGATGGCACAGAAGTGCCATTTCAGGTTGTAGTCCAAAGAGAGGAGGAGTTGGAACTGGGGTCTGGGATGAGTGTGAGTGTGATGACTCTTCTCTGCTTATCTGAACGGGGGGTCTTGAATAATTTATGATAACAATCAGTGGCAACTGCTACAAGTGCAGGGTTGAGGAATAGAAGGGTGCACATTACAGCTCTGCTATCTCTACTTTGGCAAGTCCTGAAGTCTTGAAGAGAGAAATGGCAGATCCTAGTGCTTATTCTGACAGTGCAGAGGTACACTGCACATGGTGGGAAGTTGCTGTGGACCAAGGATTGATGACACAGGGGCTTGCCCTGGGGGTCAGCAGTGGGGTCTACAGGAGGAAGAATTCACACCACCTGGAAAACCAATAGATATTGGAGGAGGTGAAGCAAAGCCCAGCATTCCAATTAGATCCAAGATTTTTAAGCAGGAGGGTTAAGCAGAATGTGAATGTCTCTTTTTTTGTAGGAATATGGGTTAAGAATTTGCTGTCTGTTTCAAACACACACAGCTCCCTGCCTCTACTGAGTGTCCTGAGCATGCACTAGTTAAATGTGCAGAAAACTGTAGAGTGCTATTATTTTAGAGCCCTGTGAAAATGTAATTTGATTAGTCTATTGGATGATATTCCAAAGAACCAAATGTCTTCCATGAATCAGTCAGAAATGCTTAGGAAAACCAAAATAAAAAATGCTTTCTAAGCCAATAAAGGTGCTAATTAGTGCCTTCTGCATATCTGACTACATCTTCTCCAGCAATACATTTTGCAGGGTTAAGTGTGGTATCTGCTACTTCAGGTGGCAGAAGTCCACCTAACAGTGGGGAGGGTGGCTGAGACTCAAGCATCTAGAAGGGAATCAGAAATGGAATTCCATCCCATGGAACGGATGTATTCAACAGAGCAAGGCCTTCTTTCCTCGCTTTTTTTTTTTTTTTTTTTTTCCTGAAAACAATGCTTAGGAAATGCAAGGATAGCAGGACTTACTTTTTTCCCCCTTCTCTCTCTCCTAATGCTTTTAGAAAGTATAACCCAATATTTAAAGACAAATCAGTATATCCTGAAAAGAAAAAAGGTGGAAAAAAAATAAAAGCAAGTGGAGAAGCATGTGTGAACACAAGGTGGGCCCACGTAGGAGAGATTTCTGCAGAGCTCACAGGTCCATCTAGAAGGGCACCACCTTCAGCCTGAGGCAGTCCCAAGCCTGCTGCCTGCAGAGCTTGAGGACATCCAGGGAACAGTAGCGCTTTGTCTGACCTGCAGTGGCATACCCTATTCATCAGTCTTGCTCTCATCAGAGCACAGATCCAAAGGCAGGACCAGGCAGGTAACTGCAAATGAATGAATCATGCCACACAGAAACTGCAGATCAGAGAGCAGCCTCAAAACACCTGGGCAATGCTCTTGGCTCTTCCACATTTTAAGCAAAGCCTAAGAATCCCAGTCCCTGTGAGAAATGGCACAGGATGGGCACCAGCTTGGGCCTCATCATTCAAATTCATTATTGAAAATGGGTCAAAGGAAATAGGTTCTGACCCTATTAAGTCCCATTCTCGGGCTCTAGGAAGTTTTTTTTTTTTTCAAATTAGTAAAATGAAAGAAAAATAAAAATAAAATCCCTGCAACGGACAAGGGCTAATTGTTTCATACTGCCCCGTGCAAAACTGTGAACTGCCTGTGTCCAAATGCTACAAAGGCCAGTTGCTGTTTCTGCAAAGTTAAGAAGTCAACACAAATGGCATCGATGTGAGAATAGTACTTGATACCCAAGGATGCAGAGAGCCTGGAAATGTAAAATGGAAATCAGGAAGTGACAATAATTAATTTTTAGTAATTGTGTCATAATTTTATAAATAAAGCCTATTCTGTGAGCTTAAAAATTATTTTAATTTTGCTTGGCATGGTTTCCTTCAAAATCTAAGTTTGGCAGCAGAAAGGCCAAAGTCTAAAGATAGACACTTATGTCATTTTTAGCAAGAACAAAGAAGGAAGAGAACAAGGAGTCTAGGCAAGAATGTAGATGCTGGATCTCTACCTCAGTTAGAGTGGCTCTCAGGCCTCAGGCATGGGTGGATGAAAACCTCCTGCTAAGACCAAGCTGGGCCTCATTGCAGATGAAAATGTGTCACCCTTAGGAACCTCCTCTCCTCCAGCATGCAGGACGCTGTTTGGTTTCCAACCAAGCAGGTCGTGTTGGTCAATGATGGCAGGGCAGAGGGTGTGCTGTCCATGGAGTACGCTACTCTAGCTGAGAGGACACTGAGATCCCAGGCAGAAACCCTAGGTGAAGGGCTCCAGATTCTTGATGGCTACAATTTTCTGAAGGGCTAGATTTTTCTGTAAGGCTAGAGATTGTGGTAATGCAACAAGACTAAGCTACATCCTTTCTTCATCAATATCTGAAAATGGATCACTTCCTCCATTGATGTCTGCAGTTCACTGTGTTCACAGCGCCAAGATCCCTGAACTCTATGTGTGTATTCCTTCATACTTCCCAGTGAACACGTAGCAACAGTAGGACTTGGTAAGGGGCTGAAGCCATGACAAGAGCACTGGTATTGGCAGAGAACACAAGCAAGGGTCAGATAAAGTGTAATATTTTAGAGTGAAATGCTCAGAAACTCTCCAAAATTGTCCAGATGAGGCAAAGCTGGAGGCTCACTTGGTGGATTACACACAAATCAGGACATAGAGATAGTTCTGATAAGAATAGTGGCAGAAAATAATGAGGGACATGGCTTGATAGCGCAACTATTTATTTTACCTTCCATTTGGGCAACTTATTATTTAATTTATTTGGCCTCAAATTTTTACATGATTGCCTACAAGTTGAACTGGGTTGGCACCTATGACAGTAATAAGCTGGCTGGAAGGCTTTTGTTCATGTAAAGCTTGAATCAATCTCATTGGATTTACTAGTTTCGGAAACTCTGAGGCAGATACCGACTGGAGCTTAGTAAAGACATATGCTACAGAGCCTGCCTGAGTGAGAGATTTGTGTTTTACAATGATAAGTTTTCAAACTCTGACTCTTGGAGGTTCCTTGCACAGAAAAAGAATAGTAAAATGGAAGCACACATTCCCTGGAATGTTTTAAGAAGCAGTTGTGTATTGTCTTTAAGTTATTGACCTCTGAAATTT